GCGTATGGTTGTCCGTTTGTCTGTCTGGAGAACTCCGTCTCGGAGAGTGGTTCTTCTTCACCAGGGGGTGCACCATGCATCCCCTGGGAGTGCGAGATGCCCTTTCTGGGATTGCGAGACATGGCCAGATTTGTTTTCGAAGGTAAATGATCGAAAGACAAATTAAGCACGGGGCACGTAAGTCAACTACTTTGTTTCATCAAAACCGATTATTTCTTTGTAAAACATGTTTTCGATTGAGAACCAAAGGGGTGTAAGGTCGCAGTAAAGGTTAAGAAATACCGGTCTAGACCCACGCGTCCATGGATATGAACGAGCAGTCACTGTAAAGACTTATTCGCAAGTTAGACTGAAATTAAAACACACACAAAAAAACAGATTGATTGGCCTGTGAATTTGGCTCCTTGGTCCGTGACGCTGCTTATACTCGCTACCATTTACTATGTAGGCTGACACATGATGGAATTCCTGTGCAAAATCACAGAGCAGATAGATGTGTGCAGGAGGGGGCTTCGTGGGGCAGGGGTGGTATTGGGATAATGCGAGCCCTTGAAACGCTTTATAACTGTTGAATCTCAATGGGCTTCCCGCCAGTATATTTATAAAATCTGATTTATTTTGTGTTATGCCTCTGTCTTCCATCTTGATCTGATTTAACCAATCAGCAATGTAATTTTTTTGCTGCTTTTATGCTCCTGTGGATTATTATAATATCGTTGATTGCTTTTGTTTGGTGTTTTCTGGTTTGTATTCACATTCGATTACTTGTGGTATTACATATGTGTGAGTTTTCTCTCCTTCGGTTGGAAATGCCATCCTTTTTCACATCTTTCCATTTCCTCGTTATATATTTTTGTGGTTTAAGATTCCTTTTTCCGTTTGCTTTTTTACTTGGCCCTGTTTTAAAGCATTGTCCACTGCGATGCTACTCATTTCATTACAGATCTGACATCCCCTTAATCATTTCGCTTTTCTAGAGGTTTCATTATGTGTCTTGGAATAAGTCTACATTCTCCTACGTCCTGGAATTAATTGTTGATGTCCTTTGTATTTTATCTGTAATTAGCTTGGTCCTCTCTTTGATAATGTTGAAGCACAACTGGCAATGCACCGGCTTGTGATAACATTCTTTGTTGAATTTGCCAAGGGCAAATACATCTCTGGCATGAGAATTAAGTAAATTTAATTCCAAACTTCTACATTTGGACTCCTCTATGTCAATTTAATCGACTCCTTTAAGTACTCTTTGCACAAATGGTTGTGCAAAATACAGTATCAAAAAAGATCCCCCGTATAGACTTAACGGACTTTTGGAGCAAGTGGTGACAGCGGGAATTTTAGGCTGAGTCGACCTTGGGGAGGCCCAGAACTGGTTTAGATAATCGTCACCGGTGTTGTACATTAGCGGGAATCGAACTTTGGATTTGTAGTGTAATGTTTTAACCTCTTCACCACCGCTCCTCTATATACACACACATACAAAGAGTAATATCATTTAAACAAAAATATGATGTAATTATATATATATTTTTATAATTAATGGATATTGCTCGCGAAAGCCTACGTGTTAAACTGAGTAATATCATTTACAGCCCTTTGTCAAAATAGTTTTGGGTGAAGACCTCCCCGTGGTGGGTGGAGTTTCTTTGACTATACTTCACCATTCTGGTCAGTGCATGTTCATGAATTCATGTATCAATTGCAACTGATATTAGCCATGGCAGGGAATCGAACTCGAGCGGCTGGGATCGTTGCACAGTGTCGAATGACGGACAACAAACATGCATGGATCGGTCCCACAGTATCAGGCCGAGTGTAAACTTAAACAATTGTTGACACTTACCTATCAAGGATGAGAGGCCAGGACTGGTTCAAGTATCACTTGCCACTGATGTTAGCCGTGGCCCAAAATTACATTGTGCAAGCAGCTCTGTCATCACCTCCCCCCATTACCAGGTAAGGCCCGCTGAGCCGTGTATCTTTTTCTCCAGAAGCGACCTGGTCGCAAATGATAGCTCAACGAAGTGGTTTATCATGTGGAAATGTATAGCAGCCCAAAATAATCTAAACGCGTGAGGAAATCCACACGACCACGGGGATAACGTGCAAACTCCAAATATAGAGCAGCAGGCGTCAGGGTCGGGATCGAACCCACGACCTCCTGTAAACCAGACGAGACAATTAACATCTCGCCACCGCGGCGCTTCTGTAATCTTTTCTGTCCACATCAATACATATCTGATTATCTTTTAATCAAGTATAGTGTTGTGCATGTGTGTGTGCACGCGCATATGTAATGTGATTATGTGGACTGCGTGTTTGGCGTGGATTTAGGTTTCTCGCAGAAAGCCTCATGGCTGTGAACAGAACACGACCCGAGCCTGTGGTGCTTTAAAACGTGACTTTTAAAGTCTAGACAGTGGTAAAGCAACGCTATCACATTTTTTTGTTAAATTACGGTTAAATACATCTCTGCGTTGACATCGAAAGTATCATACCCAGACGCAATTAAGTCTGCTCAAATCTGGGTAAACACGAAATCTGTTAGCCACGGCGACGTCATGTAAATGTTTCTCAATGCAAATATTTCAGAAGAAATTCAAGTCCACATATTGTGTTCTACGTGACTTAAATGGGGTGGGAGCAGTGGCACAGTGGTTAGTGTATGACAAATATATCCGCACTCATGACGCACACAGAGCGCTTGCCGCAAATGAACCACAATATCTCGCTGATCTTGTCAAGGAGCATAAGCCATCACAACGCGACACTCCGGTTGTCATCCTCGCAGCAGCAGCAGCAGCAACAGCAGCAGCAGCGGCTTTTTGCAAACCGTCGAACAAAGACGGTCGCGCTTTCAGATGCGGTTCTGCGGCCGTCTGGAATGCACTTCCTTCTGATATTAGGAAGCCACTTGAGCTACGCACTTTTAAATCTTGATTGAAAACTCATTTCTTGAGAACTGCTTTTTTTCTGTTTGGTTTGTTGTTCTTTCCCCCGCACCTCCGATTAGCACGGTTGACTAGATAGGGTAAAAGAAGTTCAACACACATGCGTACGTTGTGCATTATGCTATGACTGCACAGTAATTTGAAGCAGGTCTCCTTAGGTCACTCGGCCGCAACAGTTGACGTCAGTGCCGAGTGGTATCCCAAATGCTTCTGGGCCCCTGTTTCACCAATCCCCACGGACAAGAATAATGAAGTATGGTTAAACGATCCTAATTATATGACTTGCCGTGTAACGTTTAGTCCAAGTGTTTTCCTGCTCAAGAAAGGATCGAGGCGTCCCTCAACTCCAGTTTACAGCCCTGAGTCAGCTGTTGGAAATTCACATTCCTATGGCAGGGGTAAGTCGATGGAACAACCACTGTTGACTTCCCCAGAAAGCGGTACCTATGTGATCAACCCCATAAGAGTAGGATGGGTTGAGTCAACCTCCAAACAGAATTTGAACTCGCAACTAAATGATTAAGAGCTACTCGATTTACCAACCACGCTACCTGGCTCGATCAATATTCATTGTCTTAAGTTATTAATAATTGCATATCTTTTTCATATGGTGAAAAAGAAATACAATTATGGATTCATCTTCTTTGGTTCTTTCGGTAAAGTCACGTAGAATGAGAATAAAATAATAAATTGATAAAATAAAATAACACAATAATATTCTCACCACAATTATGGATGTTTCTGAACTTCCCCTACTTTATTTAAACCCAGGCCTATATTGAATAAGAGACATCTGGGCAACGGAGGTAAAAATATAATCTATATTTCTGTCTTTAGTTTGCGTAGGCATTTAGAGTTGCATAATAACAACAATACCTCGCCTTTGCTCAAGTAACCTCTCCGGAGCACCTTAAATGTATAGCATACAGATGTTTGAACATAATGCACTCTAGCCAAACTGTTCATCCTATACCGTACTGGTGAGGTGTATCATCACACATTAACACTCATCTCACAAAACAATGCTAAAAAAATGTCCGAACTGAAAAAAGCCCCTTTTTAAGACAAGACAAAATTCGGAGACAAGAGTGCATGCCCATAGTTGTACATAGTACCATAACGTTGGTACATACTTGGCAAGAGCCTGTTACTGGCACATGCCAGGTGGGTTGGGAAGACCATACGGATTCCATTAAAATCCTTGGACTGTTTATGCAAATAAAAAAATTGGAGCTGCAACATGCATTTTTGTGAATATTGTTATTATTATATTATCGGGTTGTCTTAACCACGTCCAAGATCGTTGTGCATAGGAGTATCTCTGGCATAGACAGAGGGAACTCATTGTCCGTAGCCATTGGTCACGTTGCATTCCTTCATTGGCAAAATGTATCTGTGATGTGGGCAAATGGGCAGGAGCGACAGTGTCCTCATAGTGGATCAAACGTAGACGTCCACTGACATTTTAAAGTAAGAGGAGCACGTGGATTGGAGAACGATGCAAGTTAGGGACGTAATATTGACTGTTGAGAAGGGTAAAAGTGGACTTTGGTAGGACACTGCGATGAGGGACGATGACCATCGGTCGAGACTGAGTGTGGAATGGCAGCCAACGAGAAAGACCACACAAAGGAAGAGCACTGCAGAGACATGGAGCGATGAGATCGGTTCCTGCGCCAGAGCTATACGAATTGTTGTATCGTGAGATCGAGAGGACCGGCAACAACTTGGGGAGGCCTTCATCCAGCAGTGGATAGATCGTGGCTGATGTTTATTACGCTCCCACGTGGGGGTGTGAATGGAACTGTTCACATCATGACAAACATTGAAAAATGGCTCGCTACTAATTTAATAGCTCGCAGAATTGTGAATGTTTTTCAGCGGAAATTACACTCGGAAAATGCGCACCCTTGCGAAAAAAGTGTCAACACGCCCGACTGCGTGACGTTAACAATGCACGACGTCGAGTGCACAATTGACTGCGTGTTTTTTTCTAACGCTTGTTCCCCCGCACCCCCCCACCCCCCCCTCCGTGGTTCAACCCCCAAGATTTTGGGAGGAAAAATGCCGGGAAACGTGACGGGCGAGATGGAGGGTGCCATCCTGAATGGTACCGGCGTGGCCTACGCCCCGGCAACTTCGAACGGCTCACATGTGGTGCCCGCAGAGGCCTTCACCGCTGCCCTCGCCTCCATCAACGCCACGCTCAACGGCTCGTCGCAGCACGCCCTGGACCGCAACGAGGAGGTGGCCAAAGTCGAGATCGCCTTACTCTCGATCATCTTGTTCGTGGCCATCGTGGGCAACGTCTGCGTGCTGCTGGCACTCATCAACACCCGCAAGAAGACGTCGCGCATGCATCTCTTCATCATGCACCTGAGCATTGCGGACCTGGTGGTTGCCTTCTTCCAGGTGCTGCCGCAGCTCATCTGGAAAATCACCTACCGCTTCAACGGCTCCGACTTCCTGTGTCGCGCCATCAAGTACCTGCAGATCCTGGGAATGTTCGCCTCCACGTACGTGCTCATCATGATGGGGCTGGACCGCTACATTGCCATCTGCCACCCTCTAAGGACGCTCCGCCAGTCTTCCAAACAGTCCTACCAGATGATCTTCGTCAGCTGGTTCCTGAGCATGCTGTTCAGCCTGCCGCAGGCGTTCATCTTCTCGATGTCCGAAGTGGAGAACTCGGGCATCATCGACTGCTGGGCTGAGTTCATCAAGCCCTGGGGCACCAAGGCGTACATCACCTGGATGACAGGCTCAGTCTTCATCATCCCGGTGATCATCCTCATCTGGTGCTACGGCATGATCACCTTCGCCATCTGGAAAAACATCAAGGCCAAGACGCAGGAAGGTGACAGCAGACACAACCCAGCCAAGAGCAGCGCCCCTTCCAGGGTCAGCTCGGTGCGCAGCATCTCCAAGGCGAAGATCCGCACCGCCAAGATGACGTTCGTCATCATCATGGTGTACATCATCTGCTGGACCCCGTTCTTCTTCGTGCAGATGTGGTCAGTCTGGGACAGCTCCGCGCCTTTTGAAGGTACGAGCACGCGCGGGTATACAGCGTGACAGTGCCATGCTAAAGGTGCACCGATTGTCGTTTTTTGCTGGTATTTTATAACAAAAAATTATTACAATTTCTAAAGTGCCCTTTAACAATCATTCTCAGGGCGCTCTGCATGAAAAAGCGGAAATAGTTGAGCATTAACCCAGGAAAGAAGAAGTGAGAAAGACGTTTGAAAATAACTAAAGACAGAGAAAGCCATTTTAAAGTTATGTTTTTAGTCGAGATTTTAAGATTTGTGTCTCGGAAGTCGTGACCTCGAAGGGCAAAGAGTTCCAGAGTTCAGACGCCGCAAGTGCAAAGGCACCGTCACCCCCAAGTGCGAAGCCTAGACCGTGGGATGGTGAGCAACGCACAATCTAAGGATCTTAATGATCTTCATGGAATATATGGCTGAAGGGGGTCATGAATGTAGGGAGGATTAAGTGCATTTAAGTCCTTGAATACCCAGCGTGTGGGATTTAGAATCAGCTGCTCCTCGAGCTCATCTTCTGCTTGCGACTTTTCTTCTCCATCGTTTCTCGTCACCCTTTCATCCCCGACATATTGGCCTGGGCAATGTCGGGTTGTTGCTCCTCCTGTCTGCCTGCTGCTCGTCTTGAGCTATTGCCCCCTGTCTGTCTGTCTGTCTTGTGGCGCAGCATAAGCACGTTAGCGTTCCGGGTTTTTTTTATTATTTAGCACACGTAAGCGTGTATTTGTGTTGTTTCGTGCCCATAACTTGGCAAGGAAAGGTCTTGGAGAAGAAAAAACGTTTGGTCTTGCATGCACGTATACAGCCGACGGGTTTCAATCAATACCATATTTGTGCGTGTAACTTGAAAAATTTTGATTTGTATAAGGTGTGTTCAAAGTGGTACGTGTACACATAATGGATTAATTGTTTATATTGATTGGATAAAGAGGTGGCAGTACTTTAAAGTTTACATAATAGCATACACGTGAAACACATTATAAAAAAATAACTCATGTCCACCAGTTTTATACAATTTGTTTCCTCACAAAAGTGTGTAGATAACCCTTTTTTCCGACGTGTATTTTCTATTTATTCAGACTTTATCTGAAAGCTTGTGTTGAAAGCTCCTAGGCAGGAATGAAAAAAAAATATCATTGCACGTTGTTTTCATGCAGCAATGTGCGGCGTGAGAATACACAGAAGCTTAGTTTGACGGGGGGAAAAAAACAAACCCCATACATGCAATTTACAAAGAGGATTGCCTTATATAGACATCGAAGACGACTGGTCATTAACCGAATAAAAACAAAGACCACTCTTGGGACAAGTTCTGTTCACGAGCACCTACATGAAGGCTGACAAGGCACACGAGGTGGGGTGGCTGGCCAGGACCACACCCGGCCGCCTTTGTCTCCCCAGTGTTGATGTTTTTCACATCGCAAGAGGTGCTCATTTGAGGTTGAGTCGACCTAGGGGAGGCCCAGAACCGGTTCAAGATATTCGTCACCGATAGTAGCCATGAGCGAGAATCGAATCGGGTCACTGGGTTTGTAGAGCAGTGAGCTAACCGCTGTGCCACCGCTCCTCAATTTGTCATTGTCAAACCAAATTAAAGACAAAGTTAATAAGTAATATTTAAAAACTCCACGACTCCAGGTAGTGGCCCCGAAACTTGCCACAACGAAAGGGGCCGTGGACAATTACAGCCAAGCCGAAACATAACAAATAAAAAAATATTGTTTTAAAATATATATTTTTGATTTTTAATAATATAATATAGTATCGTCATTAGTATGACATACGTATACCAAGTTTGCGGTCGATACCACATTGGGAAGTGGGTAAAAAATGTAATTACAAGATTTGAGGATACGACAGACAGGGTGAGTTAAATAAAAGCGTATAATAATAATAGAAAATAATAATAAAAAAGATGCCTCCTTATAGCCTTTAGCAAGACTGTTGGGGTGCAAGTTCTGTTAGCGAATCACATAACAAAGACACACTGCGGATGAAACTGCGTCTTAGAAGTCTGTCATGATGTGTTTTTTAGGTCTAGTGGGCCACTCTTGCTTTAGTCACCCGGCAAGTCACCACAAGCTGTGGTAACACACAGCCTGTGGTGTTGATGTAACACACAGCCTGTGTTGTTGATGTAACACACAGCCTGTGGTGTTGATGTAACACACAGTCTGTGGTGTTGATGAACACACAGCCTGTGGTGTTGATGTAACACACAGTCTGTGGTGTTGATGTAACACACAGTCTGTGGTGTTGATGTAACACACAGCCTGTGGTGGTGATGTAACACACAGCCTGTGGTGTTGATGTAACACACAGCCTGTGGTGTTGATGTAACACACAGCCTGTGGTGTTGATGTAACACACAGCCTGTGGTGTTGATGTAACACACAGCTTGTGGTGTTGATGTAACACACAGCCTGTGGTGTTGATGTAACACACAGCTTGTGGTGTTGATGTAACACACAGTCTGTGGTGTTGATGTAACACACAGTTTGTGGTGTTGATGTAACACACAGTCTGTGGTGTTGATGTAACACACAGTCTGTGGTGTTGATGTAACACACAGCCTGTGGTGTTGATGTAACACACAGCTTGTGGTGTTGATGTAACACACAGCCTGTGGTGTTGATGTAACACACAGCCTGTGGTGTTGATGTAACACACAGCCTGTGGTGTTGATGTAACACACAGCCTGTGGTGTTGGTGTAACACACAGTCTGTGGTGTTGATGTAACACACAGCCTGTGGTGTTGATGTAACACACAGCTTGTGGTGTTGATGTAACACACAGCCTGTGGTGTTGATGTAACACACAGCCTGTGGTGTTGATGTAACACACAGCCTGTGGTGTTGATGTAACACGCAGCTGTTCTTAGGCTGTGCTTTGTGGTTCATCAAGTGGGGTTGCTCAATGTGTGCGCCGTGCCACATCGCATGCCCTCAAATGCCCGCGCCCCGAGAGCAGTGAAGGAGGCTGCGTTGCTTGATTCTCGGATAAACCCAAAACGTCGTGAGAACATTATTGCGTTATTTTATTTTATCAATTTATTATCTTATTCTCATTCTACGTGACTTTACCGAAAGAACCAAAGAAGATAAACCCATAACCGTGAGGAATTAAAAGATTTTTTTTTTTATCAAAAAAATAAACTACAAACGTGATCATGAAGCCAGCATTGTTCCTCAAGGGATAGTCGACGTTCAGCAATAACGTCTGTGTTTGTTTTTTTACGAGCGGAAAAGCGGAACGTATTGGTGCTTTAATCAGACCCACGAGATGTTAACTACCTCGCCTGGTTTCTAGGAGGTTATGGGTTCGATCCCGACCCTGACGATGCCTGTATATTTGGAGTTTACATCTCTCTCTCTCCCCGTGGTGGCGTAGATTTATCTCCGAGTCCTCCCGGTTATTCCCTCCACGTTTAGAAACATGCGTTTAGAGTTTTTTTTAGCTGATATACATTTCCACACGACAAGCCACTTTGTTGAGCAATCATTTGTGGCCAGGTTGCTTCTGAAAAAAGATATATAGCTCATTGAGCCTTACCTGGTAAAATAAAACAAATAGTTTCGTTTTAATAGTTTCGTTTATTTCCCAACCACTCACTCATTTGAGATTAATGCTACGGGTAGCTTTTTATGAAATAGAAATGTACGAGCATCATAAGTGTAATATCTATCTCGTAACATTATGAATGCCGCTCTTCAACGCAACGCATTCATTCCATGTATAATTGTGTACACAATACCCATTTCCAAATAAATTAACATCGTATATTATTCACGAAAAGTAACATCATGAACTATGTATTTTTATGAATGCTCTGAAGACATCTTTTACAACCAAATTACATTTTAAAAAATCCCCCCGTCCAAATTTCCAATCTAAAACATGGATATATTTTTTAATCTCGTACAATTAATTTGGGGGGGGGGGGGTAGAGCGGGTATCACTATGGTTAGTTAACTCGCTGCGATTAACACCCGCGTGTGACCTCAATTTGATTCCTGCCCATGGCTGACATCAGTGGCGAGCGACATCTAAGCCAGCCACTGACTGCACCACCCCCCACTTTAATAAACCCGCTCTTGGCAGCATGGCGAAAGCGTGGTCACACTTACGTCCGGTTAGCACGGTTGGCTACGTACGGTGCGAAAGAAGTGCAACGTTCATACATGGCATGGGGAAAGGCATTTTCAGTCAGTAAGTTTGTATTATGTTTGTTTAAATAAACATCTGATCTATCTCCATATTGAAACTTTATTCGGATATGACAGTGTGTGTGTGTGACTTAATCAACGTTGCGACTTAGGTTATCTTTTTACACCATGTCTCCAATCTAAAATCGATGTATCCGGCTCACACACAAGCTTCGCATTATCGCCAAGCCTCACCAGGCATGAAGAAGCCTGAAGCACAACAGACGCATCTGATGCCAGATAAGCTTCAGACTATGAGGGATGTTGACGGCTTGGGAACACATCCAGCATTGTATACATATATGACCGACGACGACGATGATGATGATAATTGGTTTTTTACCCTTTAATCTGGCAACAAAACTGACACCTTTTTTTTACAAGGAGTCATGTTTACATTGACCACAATACCTGCAGTCGGAAAATGAAGGTTTCCGATGATGATGATGATGTTTGCAACCTGAATGAGACGGAAATACACACGGTGACTTCAATCTGTGAATCTTCCACAGGCATCCCATTTGCCATCGTCATGCTGCTGGCGAGCCTCAACAGCTGCACCAACCCCTGGATTTACATGTTCTTCAGCGGGCACCTACTCTACGACTTTGTGCGCTACTTCCCGTGCGGGGCGCGCTCGCGTGCCCGCTCCCGCGAGGCGGACGAGTCGCGTGCCAGCGACAGCAGCCGCCGGAATCACACGTTCGTGAGTCGCCTGACCAGGAGGAGCCTCACTCTCTCGTCGGGCTCGCAGCACGAGGAGGCGTCGTCGCGCACCACTAGCCTCTCTCCCGTCGCACGAGTGCCCAAGACGTACTTTGCGTGAGCCGTTCGCGTCTTTAAAAAAACAAAAACAAAAATCTGATTCCCAGGGCTTCATTTCGGCTGGGGGTTTGTTCGGGGTCAGCTGCAAGCACAGGCACATCCCGTACACGTCTCGCTCCGGGCTGCGGCGGCTACGGGTCTCACAGTCAACCCGGAAAGTATTTCCGCACCCGGCACACCACTTCCAGTATGCTGTTCGTTATGACTGTGGCTGCCAGGTAAAGTGCCACTCCCGCCCCATCCCCCCGCCCACCCAGTCTACTGAAGTCTACCAACGGGCCAGAAAATATTTCCGCAGCCAGCAGAGCATATCCATAATTCCTCTAGCTATGGCTCTCCGTGCCACCCACCCCAGTCTTACTGGCGACCCGGAGAACATTCAGTGAGAAATTAAGCCCTGCTTTTGTCCCCTTTGTGTATTTTTGAGATGTGTGAGCGGTTGGTGCAGAATATGTACGTCGTGAACTCCGTCGATGGTCCCAGCAGTGTGCTAGGGATTGACATTTTGCGATTGAAGGGAACGCAACTCGCTTGCTTTTTGTGACTTTCATTGCATTGTAAAATAATATATATACAAACATTCCCAGCTTTTAGAAAACTCCAGGGCACGAAGAGACGGTGTGATGTTTATGAGTTATTGGGCATTCCGTGCAACTGCAAGCAAGATAATTCAGGGAAAGAGAGAGAGAGCGGGAGATATTTTTGTTGCCATCAGTAGGTGGAAGTGGCCATGCAGATGACAGCCATATTTAGTTTAACACGTAGGCTTTCGCGACCATATTTAGCATGCAGTCAAGCTCGATGGAGAAATTTTTGTTGCAAAAAGTAGCGCGGGTATTTGTGATTTATGCTCTTACACACAGATACCGAGTGGTAATGTTTAGGTATTGTACACAGGAAGGAATATATTAGGGAGAGTATTTTTTGCAAGCATGCGCAGATATTTGTGATTGTGTTTAAAATACAAATGTTTTCCAATATATTTAGAAGACTAAAAAAAAGTTGCAACCACACGGATTTGTGTGCATATGTAAAAGTGAGTCTAATTTTTTTGACAAAATGTAATAGTGGCTTAAATTGAGCTCAGTATTATATGTACAGTTATGTGTATTGGAAAATATATGAACTTGCATCGAATTAAGTTAGTTTTACCAATCAGCTTTTCATAAATACAGTTACATCTTATCACTGTGCTCGATACAATTCCGTAGCCATGAGTGTGGAGAGGGGGGAGGGGGGGACCACCCCTCCTCTCGACATCAGTGCCGTCCCCCCCAATCCAAATTGTGATATGTACCAAAAGACATTGTTAACAGGGAAATTTGACAACCTCACGCGCCTTTGCCAAAGGTACGCATGGCAACATTCTTTATTCCTCCAAAAAAATTATCGGAGCAACAAAGGCATGCATTTTAATGGGCAAAAAAAACATGCCCCATCTCAGATTTGCTGACAACAAAGTCATTAGAACAACGTCCAAGCGAAATGCTTGATCACAACGGAGGATAAAACGTGTGCAAGACGGCCCAGGACACACGGCACCGCTGGATTTCCGTATTCTTGATAAAATAAGTAGAAACGAGGGATCGTGAGTTCTTTCTCAGCTACAACATCCACCCACCGGTATTTTGGTTCGGTGTGTACCATCATGGAGGTCGAGCACGCTCGAAAGTGTGCGGTGGAATGGAAAAAGATTGAGCACTCCTCAACCGGGTCGAATGTTTCACAACGGTGAATGTATGTACGGTATTGTGAACTTCTTTCGCACCGTACATAGCCAACCGTGCTAATCGGAGGTGCGGGAAACTGTATAACCAATTCGCGACTATAACCAATTCGCTAAATCCTATCGTGACTCCTGCAGCCATTTTAAATGACGCACGATATAACTTGTAAAATCCACTAAAGGATACGATCTGCCCATCAGGAGACGATATTTACTTCTAATAGATTTTTGCTGCATAAATCTGGTCGATCCGCTTCGTAACCGAAGACTGCACCCGTAGTAAACAATGTATTCAAAGACAATGACAGAGAGGGTTTAGTAAAGTATTTATTTTATTTAACGTTTACGGAATGTGTATTATAATGTTACTTTTACCTTGTGCATGTACGTGACGTAAGATGATTTGTTTTGCTTCTCTTTCAGCCGTTTCAGTTTTTTCCTAGACGTCAGCCGCCTGCCGACGTTGCCAAATTTTGTATAGCGAAGCATTCACTTTGTCTTCACACATCTGTTTACAGTTAAAAAAATGTTATCTGTAAATGTACCCATCGTGGAATAAAATATAAAATATATTTGCTTCAATGCCACTGTTTTCGTGTATCCATATCCCGTTTTCTCTTGTCAGAGGTGAAGGTTAGCTGGAGGAAGCTCTGGAAGGATGTCAGGAAAATATATTAAAGTTAGAGTAAGGAAGGCACTGCTTTAAAAGCTGAAGAACGGAGGACTATATGGCGAAAATGAAGAGGAGACCGCAAGATTGGATATGATGGAGGAAACTTGACCTCAGAGCCATTCCCTTTGGCAGAGAACTTTGAGAGAGACCACTTTCACTGGGTTTTCACTGCCAACTAAACAGCTTTGGGGAGGAGATGCAAGGTTCCCGCATGAAGCAGCAAGGTACACAGCAGCGAAATTGCTAATCGGGGATGTAACGGTGCACAGCATTGATTCAGTGATAAACATCAGTTCTTAAGCTAACAATATATGCACCGAATCACATACAGAAGCGATTATGCTTTCCAATCTACAGATGTAATGCAATGGGTTCACATGACCCCGCCCAGCCACTAGTAGCTGCTCCCTTTACCACGATGGTAAAATAAACTAATGATTCTCGTTTGGGTTCACAACCCTGAATTGCGACAATTGGAATTGCGGCAATTGGAAGGCGTGAATCATTATACTCCACCTTCATTTGGTACCCATAGTGCATTGCTATTGCCCGCATACAAACACTACTAATCTTGCACTGGAGATCTAACCATGGAACGCTCGATCAAGAAATGTCAAGAAATGTACAACTTTAATCTTACACTATGGATCAAACCAAGGAACCCTCCATGAAGAATTGTCAAGAAATGTGAAGCTTTAATCTTACACTACAGATCTGACCATGGAACCCGTGACCAAAAAAATTGAAGCTTTTTAAATACGGCCCTACTTTAATAAATAAAAATATTTATTTAAATGTACTTTCTATGCTAAATATATCAATACAATACCAAGTTTTAGGGTCTAAAGATGGGTGGGGAGCTTTGTTTTCATGCCGCCCCCACCCCCTTAATAATAATTAGCACTTTTAAGGCACCTTTTACAATGCTTCAACAGTCATGATGACTTAAAGCTTTTGTGACTGCAAGAATTCCTATTCTTTGGGTCTTTCGGTAAAGCCACGTAGATATGTCAAATAATAAAAAATAATAAAGATAAAAATAATACAAATAACAATATCACGACGTTTCGATCGCAACACAAGCAATCGTCATCAGGTGAAAAATATAGCGGGAGAACTGCTGAGACTATACGGTGGGAGCGCTGCTAAGGTAAGGAGTTATAAAGGTTTGGATGGGTGCAGCTGAAGGGTCGGTGGGGGGGGGCTAGAGATGAAATTTGCATGTAAATGTAAGATCGGGTAAATCTTGACAAACGAAGCTGTGGGGGTGGCTATTGTATCGTGAGAGATTAGCGTGTCAATGTAAGAGAGATTAGCGTGTCAATGTAAGAGAGATTAGCGTGTCAAAGTAAGAGAGATTAGCGTGTCAATGTAAGAGAGATTAGCATGTCAATGTAAGAGAGATTAGCGTGTCAATGTAAGAGAGATTAGCGTGTCAATGTAAGAGAGATTAGCGTGTCAAAGTAAGAAATTTGCTTGTAAATGTAAGCTCGGAGAGAGCTCAGCAAGAGCATCGCCACGTAGAAGTAGATAAGGATGGCAGGCCGCCATTTACTAATAAAGCTAAGGGGCCGTCCATAAATGACGTCACGTGATTTTGGACGATTTTTGATCCCCCCCCCCTTCGTCACACGACGTCAGATAAAAGTCAGACCCCCCTCAAATATGACGTCACAAAGCTCTGCCCCCCTCCCCCCCCCCAAAAAAAAAACATGCTTCAAATCGCTTTGAACTAATGTCATTGTAGTGCGTATTCACTGTGGCGCTGCACTCTGATGTTGTAGGAGAAAACATTTATTAAAAAGTCTATTTAATTAAGTAGAACGTGTTGTCTATATTTATTTAAAGTTGCGCATTTTGATGTGACGTCACATTTCTCAACCCCCCCTCCCCTCTCGTCACACATCGTCACAAATGTCTGACCCCCACCCAGGTGCGTGACGTCATTTATGGACGGCCCCTAAAGGTGGCTGTGTTAGTGAATGTAAATCAGAGAGTCGAAAATAACTGCTAATATAGGTAGGTAGGGAGGGAACATCACAGCCAGTTATGACCTAAACTGGTTAATAACGTCCTTCCAATGATTGCTCAGTTTGTACCCATCTTCTCGGTTGAAATTGTGTCTGTGTTTATATATCTGGATGGCTTCATGAACGAATCTTTGCTGATAGCCAGTGGGCTTGCAGAGTACCCTCGTCTTGGCAAAATCAATTTCGTGTGTGCCCAGAGCGTTAAAATAATTATCAGCCACGGCTGAGGTATTAGTTCTGCCGTGTTTCAGATCTGCCTTATTATTTGATCTATCTACGTGGCTTTACCGAAAGACCCAAAGAATATAATAGTCAAGATGACGTCTCGAATTTGCTGTCTGATCCGTGCGTGTTTCGGTGTAATCCCAAGCACGTTCATCTCCGTGCTTTGCGCCCTTCGATTTTCCACTGCTCACAATGCGCACGCTGTCAGCTGCACAACAACATGTTTCAATATCTCGATGAAGTATAATAGTTATCACGTCATGTAATTATCGTGCTGTCTATTACGCTGAAAAACTCATTTGGGAACCGCGAATGCAACGGTTATTTTTTTTTTTATTCAAACGTTAATCTTTGATATTGTTGCTGTAATTCGCGAATATTTAGCGAGGTCATCAAATATTCAAGAAAAATATAGTGACAATCACAATCTAACGATAGTTTGCAAAGCAGATGATATGATTGTCGCGGATAATATATCGTACGCTTGTATCGTAATATTTTGGTGGTGCACGTAATCGATAATTGCCGACAGTTCAATTAAAACTGTAGACTGTGAGCGGACTGTTCATGATTATAATAACGCTGTGAGTTTTTATTCTATCCAGGGGTACTGTATGCTGTAAAAAGTCTTACTGATTGGGATGAGTATTTTTTTTTCGTCGAATTCCAGCTCACACTAAGATTTGTTTTAAATACCTAAATGAAAGGTCTAATATGTTTTGTCTAATGCAGATGCTTATGTTTCGGCTACATAACGAGGGAATTAAAAAAAAAACACTTTAACAGAGGCCGACTTCCCACTTTGTCTTGCACAGAAGCAAGAGGCCATCATTCTTCATTGCAGATACAATTATTATTTTATTACTGTTGTTCCATATAAAATTAATATTTTATTACTGTTGTTCCAGATACAATTATTATTTTAATACTGTTTTTTTCCAGATAACTCAGACATTGGCGTTGTGAAAACACCATAGAGCGTTCTCTCCTATTCCATTACGTTCACCTTTATTGTCCGCTTCAGGACAAAGCGGCACACTTCAGACGCCTACCGGTCTGGACAAAGGCATCGCCCATGGTTAAAGAATCGCGTAGTTGAAATGTTGACAAACAGATTCCTTGCGCACACACACACACCTGTGCGCGCCGTCCTAAGGGCCTGGCAACACAAAAAAAATCAAACTTCGATTCCCCCCCCCCTTCAACTTCATTTAACCAACCAGCACCGACTCAGCGTGTCTCTTCAATTATGGTCAAACAATATCCATGGGCCAGCACGTCAGCGGTAGACTCGCTCTCTCTTTCTTGCTCAACCCCTATACGGAGGTTGCTGGGGGTCCACAAACTTCTGGCAAGCATTCCCCAACTGTTGGCGATCATCGTGTGTGGTCGTGTCCCTTCTGTTGCTGATGTTTCCCTGTCACACTCCGTTCTCCACTCACATCACTCCGTTCTCCACTCCCATCAGTCCACATGTTTTCTCAATTGTCCTCTGCCTCCGTGTCGTTCCACTAACGCTGCCATTGCATGCGTCGGATTCCTGTTGTTGGTTCAAATTCTTCCAACATGTCCATCCCCTCGGTTCTCTCGCCCAGTTATTGAGGCAAAGAATCATTCATCTTTCTGCATGGATCATCAAAGAACTGCGTCGATTTCAACAACTGTCCAGTGTTCTGCAGCAGCAAAGTAGTGATTTATAGCATTCTGCTAGATTGAAAACTAATTTCTTTAGAACGGCTTTTTGTGTTTAGTTTGCTGTCTTTTCTCCCTCACCTGCGATTAGCACCATTGGCTACGCACGGTGCGAAATAATTGCAACATACATACATAGCATAGCAGTCAGCATTCCTCACTTATGTCTATTGCGGATTAACAAAGGGCTGTATATTTGTATGACTGGAAGGTAAGGTGAAACCGTATTCCAAACCCCTCACAAATTGATGCAGTGTAAAGCAATAACAGGATATCCATCCACCTGTAACGAATACATGCTGACGAAAAACTACACATATTGCAGCGCTGTGACTTCACACGCTATAAATTACGGTATTGACCTTCGAGAAATGTAAATGGAAACCATTTTTTTCTCAGAATGGGCAGAGAAGGCAGTAGCGATATGTCAAAGTGTGTGCAGGTTTTTCATCAAGGCGGGAAACGTTAGGAATTCCGTGACCCAGCGGCACGCATCAATGAGAAGGAGAAACAAGTTCTGACTGTTTTTGATTTAAAGCTTTCGTGACTGCAGGAATTCATATTCTTGGTTCCTTTGGTAAAGTCACGTAGAAGGGAAACAATAAAATAATAATTATTGTTTTATATTTTTATTATTTTTATTGTTTCCCTTCTACGTGACTTTATCGAAAGAACCAAAAATATAAAGTCGTGACTGCTGCAACGGAAGAGATTTATCCTGACGCTGGAGCCACTGACTGGAGGGCAGCTTCTCAGAGGTATACATTTTGCATTAAGCTGGAAGGAGGTTCATCCTCCAGCAGTAGTAAGAGGCGTCTATGCACTTGGAGGTGGCCGGGTGGCTCAGGCGTCAGGGCCCTGAGCTGCCACCGCTGAGAACCTGGATTCAAATCCAGATAGCCACCTATGATTGGACCAGGTTCTCAAATGTAGTGAGTGAGTTGATGGTCTCGGCCAAGCCA